AATGTTCTCATATTCTGTTTTTGGAAAGTTAGCCATTGTTATTTTCCTGGAGGTTCTGTTATTGTATGTTACAGTCAGGGAGACCAGAGGATTTTGTGAGCCATCTCTGGGTGAAGTACGAGAGCCATATTCACAGTGAATCTATAACATCACCAACAAATGAAGGACAAGTTGCAGAGAGAGGAAGATCTCTAAAGAGAGATGAGGGACCTCTTTCATATCCAGCTCGAAGCTTCCAAAAACATTTTCTAAACCACCTCAAACCATGTGCAACAGTCTTGAGGGGCTGAATTGTTTCCTCTGTTTCAGTGTACCAGGTTATAGGAGTAAGTTAGCTCCATCTGCTCCTGTCTAGCAAATTTGAGGGGCTGAATGGAACCTAGGAGCATAGGACTGAGGAGCACGAGTGGGTCATTGGACATTTTGAGCCTTCTCCACCAGGCAGTAAGATCATGGTTGATCTGGTTGTGGTCTCTGTCCGACTTTCCTGTCTGTATTCAATTATCCGTGACTCATTTGCCTGTCAAATATTTCCTTACATAAGCTTTGAATAAATGTAGAGAGAGACGCACCACAGATTCTGGGGAAGAGAATTCCCACACCAATGGCACTTTTAGAATTTCTTCTCATCTCTCTTAACGAATCAGAAAGTCGTACAGCTCAGAAACAGACCATTTAGTCCATCTTATCCACACCAACCAGGTATCCTAATCTGATCTAGTCCCATTTGCCAGCATTTGGCCCATATCCCACTAAATCCATTCTATTCATGTATCCATCCAAATATTTTCACCACTTCTTCTGACAGCACTTGCCGTATACAGACCACATTCTATGTGAAAAAAAAAAGTTGCTCCTAAGGTCCCTTCTAAATCTTTCCCCTCTCACCTTTAACCTATGCCATTTACTCTTAAACTCCCCTATCCTGGGAAACAGACCTTGGCTATTCAGCATATCCATGCCCCTTATCATTTTATAAACCTCTATAATGTCACCCTCAGCCTCCGTCACTCCAGCGGAAAAAAGCCTCGGCCTATTCAGCCCCTCCCTATATCTCAAACTGTGGAACAACGTTGTAAATATTTTGAGCATCCTCTGAAGTTTAACAACATCCTTCCTTTAGCATAGCCAACCGAATTGTATGCAGTATTTTTAAAGTGGCCTCACCAACGTCCTGTACAGGTGAAACATACCATCCCAACTCCTATACTCAATGGTCTGACTAATTAAGACAAGCGTGCCAATGTCCTTTTCACTATCCTGTCTACTTGCTACTCCATTTTCAACAAACTATGCACCCGCAGCCCAAAGTCCCTTTGCTCGACAACACTCCCCAGGACTTTAGCATTAACTGTATAAGTCCTGCTCTGCTTTAGCTTACCAAATGCAAAACCTCACATTTATCTAAGTTAAAGTCCATCTGCCACTCCTTGGCTCATTGGCCCATCTGATCAATGTTGTGTTGTACTCTAAGATAATCTTCATCACTGTTAACTACACCACTTGTTGATGCAATCTGTAAACTTACTAACCATGCTTCTGACATTCACATCCAAATCCTTTATATTAATGATGAAAAGCAGTGAACTCAGCACTGATTCTTGCGGCACACCGCTAGTCACAGGCCTGCAAGTCTGGAAAACAATCCTCCACCTTCAAACCAATTTTGAATTCAACTGGCTATCTCCCCCTGGATCCAATGTGACCTATCATCACTCATCTATCTACCAGTCAGAAGATCATTGAACGCCTTGCTGATGTCCATGTAGACAACATCTGCCACACTGCGTTCATCAATCTTCTTTATCTCCTCTTCAAAATACTCAATCAAGTTAATGAGACATGATTTCCACCTCACAAAGCCACGTTGAATATCCCTAATCAATGCTTGTCTTTCCAAATGCATGTAAATCCTATCCCTCAGAATCCCTTCCGACGATTTACCCACCACTCATGTCACGCTCACCAGTCTAAGGTTCCCTGACTTTACTGGTCACTGTTTCTTTTTCTCGTCCCACTCGTCCACTGGTCACAACAAATTTTAAGCGTAACTGGGTTGGTGATGTGGCCAATGATATAGGTCTCAGACTGGGTCAGGGTCAGTGTTTGGAACAAGTCATACAGTTTTCTTTTATCAGCTGAAGTAACACGTTTATGACCAAAACGAATTTAGTCAAACTATGATGGAAAGAATAAAGACAAACAGTTTGAATATGGCAAATTTGTACATTGATATTTTCCCTTTCTAAAAACACTGACACACACACACACACACACGCTCAAACACACACACACACGCACACACACATACACACACATACACACACGTAGGTTTGATGAAGAAATTCGTCCGCATAATAGTTGAACTCATGATAAAACAAAAATGAGAGATTGTCCCAAATGTTATACTGCTAATAAAGTTATTCTGCTCACACAAGTTGCTGGCAATGGGATTACTTCCTGGAAGCGTCAGATTTGGCTGAATTCCCGTTGCTTCAGGCAATGGGAGATTCCAATGAATCCTTGTCAGAAATCCTTCACAAGTGGGAAAACACAAACTTCCCATAACCCACATTGTACTGCTTTATTGGTATTGCTGAAAATTTGCCCTCTAACCCCCCCTGTCTATACCCCATTGTAGATGCTCTGCCCCCACTTGATATTTTATTGGATAACTAACTGGTGTACTCATAAAATGAGCTCCAATCCAATCAGCCCTTCCTCCAAATCGTTAATCGAGATTATAAACTGATGATGACTCACACTGATCTTTGTGGAATTCCACGAGGTACAACTTTCCAACGTGAAAATAAGTAATCATCACTACTCTGCATTTCCGGTTAGTTAACCAGGGCTCCCCTGTTCCTGTGTAGAAGCCTAGAAAGGTTGCATGGCCTCCTCCTGTGGTGTGTAGCTGGTTGTCGAGGTGTATCTGACTCAGCAATACACCATTAGGGCCATTTATTGTCAGATCATCAGGTAGAGGTCGTGCTGTCAATGATCCTGATCCTTGAGAGTTTAAAAGACAAGCACAGAATATAGGCTAACACTTGAGTAGAACGCTACATGATCAAAAATTCTGTCTTTCAGATGCAGCAATAAATCTAGTCTGCCCTCTCTGTCAGGAGCTCAGCTTTCCCCCGACACGTATTGAGAAGGTGGGGAGATTTCCTTTTGTACCTTTTAAAACACCACTAATACAGATAATCCTAATGATTAACTTCATTTTGGCTATGGATGCTGTGTGGAAAAATTGCCACAATTGTTACCCACTAAATTTAAAAAAAATGTCATTGAGGAATGACTTTACAGAGGTTTATAAAATCATGAGGGGCAGAGATAGGGTAAATAGTCAAGGTCTTTTCCCCGGGTTGGGGGAGTCTAAAATTAGGGGGTATAGGTAGAAGGTTCAAAGGGAAAGATTTAAAAGTGACTTGAGGGGCAACATTTTCATGTCGAGGGTGTTGCGTTTATGGAATGAGCTGCCAGAGGAAGTGGTGGAGGCTGGTACAATTACAACATTTAAAAGGCATCAGGATGGGTATATGTTTAGGAAGGGTTTAGAGAGGTATTGACCAAATGCTGGCAAATGTGGCTAGATTTATTTAGGATATCTGGGCGGCATGGATGAGTTTGATCAAAGGGTCTGGCTGCTGTGTATTTTAGGCCTGGCCCTGCTTAGTCCGTGTCGGGTCTGTGGAGACACTCTTGGTGATAGACATTGAAGTATCACACCCAGATTACGTTCTGTGTCGTTGCCACCCTCAGTGCTTCCTCCGATTTGTTTTTAACATCGAACAGAACTGAGTTATCACTGAAGGGTATTGTGGAGGGCAGTAGATGTCCATCATCAGGCGATTTTCTTGACCATCTTTGACCTGTTGCCATGAGATTTCTCTGGGTCTGAAGTCAATGTTGTGGAATTCCAGGGTAACACCTTTCCTGGCTGTATGCCACAGTGCCACCACCATTGGTGGATGTGTGCTGCCGGTGGGATAGGATATACCCAGGGATGGAGATGGTGTTTCATGAAACATTATCTATCAGGCCTCATTCTGTGAGTATAACGGTGTCAAACTGTTTCCTGACCGGTCAAAATGAGGAATAAAAGTTCAATGGAGCAGGGAATAATGGTTTAATAAGTTAAATGAAAGACATCCTCTTGGAATGTGCTCTGTATTCTCGAGAAAGTTTGAGGAATTCAATGTATACATTGAGGTAAATGGATATGGTTTAATGGCATGAGAGAGAAATGGCTCCAGGGTGACCAAAGTTGAAAACTGAATATACAGAATAATTTATGTTTGGGAGTGTTACGCAAAACTGAAAAGGAGCTGGTGGATTTCTCCGAATAAGGGATAGCATCTGTATGATGGTAAAAGAGGATCTTACATCAAATGATTAAGGTATTGTCTCAATCTTACTGTTTTTGTATGCAAAGTGCCAATTGAGTTGAGTTTGAGGAGAGATTTCCACCGCGAGGCTGAGTGGGTCTCACCAAAACTGATGGGCAGAAGGGCCTTTGTGATGTGGATCTTTATGACTCCATCACACTCTGTAACCGACATTCCCCGGAACATTCTGTAACCGATATTCTCCTATAACTGACATTATTTATGAACAGCTGGATGTCAGTTAATTGAACAAAAGACATGATCCCGATGGAAGAGATCCCATATTATGTCAAATGTAAAAAGTAATTGAGACCTTGCCTTTTGTTACATCACGTCCAATTATTTCAATAACTCTCTGAATACAGTGATACATTTGAAAATCTCACTCTGTCCTCAACCAAATTGATAACTTTGCCTCCAGGCTAATGTTCTGAGGAAGGGTCACCGGACCCGAAACGTTAACTCTGTTTTCTCCTTCACAGATGGTGCCAGACCTGCTGAGCTATTCCAGCAACTTTGCTTTTGCTCCTGATTTACAGCATCCGCAGTCCTATTGGTTTTTATGATGTATAATTTGTTTGTTTTCCTTCCGCACAATTAATGTAGCGACGATCCATGTCCTGCTTTATAAAGATTGTGGATTGTCTTCATGAGTCAGACGTTACCTGGGGGCCATGGCAGTGGCGGATCTACTGGTCATTATCTTCAACCTGATATTGAGACACATTCCCATTGTTTATCAGGAACAGTTTTATTTCCTGGTGTACATTCCCTTGTGTAGTATCCACGCCGTCGTGCTTTATGCAGCCACTGACTGTTCTGTCTGGTTCACCGTCACTTTCACCTTTGATCGATTTGTGGCCATTTGTTGCCAGAAGCTGAAAAGTAAATATTGCAGTGAGAAAACAGCGGCTGTGGTTCTGGGAACAGTGACTGTGCTGAGCTGTTTAAAGAACATGTTGTGGTATTTTATGCTCACAGCTCACTATTGGCTGGGGAATGCCCCCTGGTTTTGTTATGGAAAAATCGGTGTTTATTCCTCTCGTGTCTGGGTCACAATCGAGTTCCTCCACCACATTCTAACCCCGACTCTCCCATTTCTCCTGATTCTGCTGCTCAATGTTTTCACCGTCAGACACATTTTAGTGACCAGCAGAGCCCGCAGGAGACTCTGGGCTCACACCAATGGGGACGATCTGTGTGACACAGAAATGCAAAATCGAAAAAAATCCATCATTTTACTGTTTGTGATCTCAGCCAATTTCATTCTGTTATGGTCAATGTTAATGGTGCATTCTATATGGTTCCGTATGTATAATATTGGGTATTATTCTGTGTATCTGCATGAGTTTGTGATGGAATTGAGCTTCATGCTGCAGCTCCTCAGTTGCTGCACAAACACCGCGATTTATGCCGTGACGCAGACTAAGTTCAGACAGCAGCTGAAGAATGTGCTGAAATATCCCTTTACCCAAATTCATCAATCAACCAAATTCACTCATTAATCAATCCATCCAGGATTTTCTCATTTGAGTTCAATGTTTCAGCAATGAAGCATCCTGTCGCTATGGTAACAGACTGAGGGTAGAGCTGGTTTATACATCCTTGTCCCACAGGGGGTTACAGGGAAACATTTCAATGTTTCTCTCAACTCAAGGGTCACCGAGAAAAGACACCATTCCACTGACTGCGTCTATAACTTCCAGTTGTAATTATGTTCATTAAAAAGTGCCAAGCAGCAGGGCGAACTGGAATGTTGTTTGTCTTTGTGTTGAAGAAGCTGAGCTGGGAAGACACAGACTTGGCCCTTGGTCCTAGTCCTCAGGAAGGGGAGGGGACAGGAGCCAAGCTCAGGAGTTGGGTTAATGTCACTCTGTCCTTGCTTTCACCTCTGGGCCACACGCTCCGAACAGGTGTCGACAGAATTTATCTCTCTTCCCACTCCCTCTCCCTCCATATGTCGCTCCCACTCTCACACTGTTCCACTTTCTTCTCCCTCTCTCTCTCTCCTCTTCCCATTTTTCTCTCCTGCCGTTATCTCAGGGGCAACATCGATCGGGAAAAGCTGCCCTGTGCCTCCAAAGACGTTGTTTGAAGACTGAAACATCTGACCAACCTGTGAGATTCCCAGGCTGTGATGCTTTCTGTAATAAAAAAATCTGCTGCTTGTGTAGTGGCTTGGGGCGGCCACCAGAGGGCGGCATTGTATCCAATTAAACACAAAAAGGAGGAGAGACTCTGAGCCTTTGATTCATCACTTTTTCCTTTATTCATTCATGGGACGAAGGCGTCGCTGACCAGGCAGCATTTATTGATTTATTGCCCATTCCTAATTGCCCAGAGGGCAGTTTAGTGTTAACCACATTGCAATGGGTCTGGAGTCACATTTATACCAGACCAGGCGAGGATGGCAGTTTCCTTCCTGAAAAGGCATTAGTGAATCAGATGGGATTTTCCGATAATCGACAAGGGCACATAGTCATCATTAGATTCTTCATTCTAGATATTTTTTCGAATTCAAATTTCACCATCTGCTGTGGCAGGATTTGAACCTGGATCCCCAGTGAGTCCGATTGCAACCAGGAGGAAAAAACACAGATACAAACACATATGGAGACACACGTCAACATGACCACTGTGTCATTTGAAACTCCAGAGGGAGAGACAGAGAGAAAGCGGGGAAGGGAGTTAATCCCGTTTCAATGGATCACCCCGAAAACAACAGATAGCCCACTGGAAAGAGCCACAGGCACAAACACACAGCGATAGAGACACACACTAATACACACACTCAGCTACACTAGCTTGCACACAGCTCAAATCACACAGTGAGAGTTCGACAGAGACACACTAATACAGAGACATAAACACACAGACACATATATGTACACAGAGGTAACAAGGTGTAGAGCTGGATGAACACAGCAGGCCAAGCAGCATCAGAGGAGCAGGAAGGCTGACGTTTCAGGCCTAGACCCTTCTTCAGAAATGGGGAAGGGAAAGGGGATTCTGAAATAAATAGGGAGAGAGGGGGAGGCGGATAGAAGATGGATAAAGGAGAAGATAGGTAGAGAGGAGACAGACAGGTCAAAGAGGCAGGGATGGAACCAGTAAAGGTGAGTGTAGGTGGGGAGTTAGGGAGGAGATAGGTCAGTCCAGGGAAGACGGACAGGTCAAGGGAGCGGGATGAGGTTAGTAGGTAGGAGATGGGGGTGGGGCTTGAGGTGGGAGGACGGGATAGGTGGGAGGAGGGACAGGTTAAGGAGGCAGGGACGAGCTGGGCTGGTTTTGGGATGCGGTAGGGGGAGGGGAGATTTTGAAGCTTGTGAAGTCCACATTGATACCATTGGGCTGCAGGGTTTCCAAGGGCAATATGAGTTGCTGTTCCTGCAACCTTCGGGTAGCTTCGTTGTGGCACTGCAGGAGGCCCAGGATGGACATGTCGTCTGAGGAATGGGAGGGGGAGTTAAAATGGTTCGCGACTGGGAGGTGCAGTTGTTTAGTGTGAACCGAGCATAGGTGTTCTGCAAAGCGATCCCCAAGCCTCCGCTTGGTTTCCCCGATGTAGAGGAGGCCGCAACGGGAACAGCGGATGCAGTATACCACATTAGCAGATGTGCAGGTGAACATCTGTTTGATGTGGAAAGTCTTCTTGGGGCCTGGGATTGGGGTGAGGGGGGACGTGTAGGGGCAGGTGTAGCATTTCTGTTGCAGGGAAAAGTGCCGGATGTGGTGGGGCTGGAGGGTGTGGAGCGGACAAGGAAGTCATGGTGAGAGTGGTCCCTCCAGAAGGCAGATAAGGGTGGGGAGGGAAAAATGTCTTTGGTGGTGGGGTCGGATTGCAGATGGTGGAAGTGTCGGAGAATGATGTGTTGGATCCGGAGGTTGGTGGGGTGGTACGTGAGGACGAGGGGGATTCTGTTTTGGTTATTATTGCAGGGAGAAGGTGTGAGGGATGAGTTGCGGGAAATGCGGGAGACACGGTCGAGGGCGTTCTCGACCACTGACGGGGGGAATTTGCGGTCCTTGGAAAACGAGGACATCTGAGATGTACGGGAATGGAATGCCTCATCCTGGGAGCAGATGCGGCGGAGGCGAAGGAATTGGGAATAGGGGATGGCATTTTTGCAGGAAGGTGGGTGGGAGGAGGTGTATTCTAGGTAGCTGTGGGAGTCAGTGGGCTTGAACTTGATATCGGTTTCTAGGTGATTGCCGGAGATGGAGACAGAGAGGTCCAGGAAGGAGAGAGAGGTATTAGAGATGGTGCAGGTGAAATTTAGGTTGTGGTGGGAAGTGTTCATGAAGCGGATGAACTGTTCGAGCTCCTCGTGGGAGCATGAGGCGGTGCCGATACAGTCATCAATGTAACAGAGGAAGAGGTGGGGTTTAGGGCCAGTGTAGGTACGGAAGAGGGATTGTTCCACGTAATCTACGAAGAGGCAGGCATAGCTTGAGCCCATGCGGGTGCCCATGGCCACCCCCTTTGTCTGTAGGAAGTGGGAGGAATTGAAAGAGAAATTATTAAGGGTGAGGACGAGTTCGGCTTAGCAAATGAGGGTGTCAGTGGAGGGGGACTGGTCGGTCCTGCGGGACACGAAGAAGCGGAGGGCCTTTAGGCCATCTGTATGGGGAATGCAGGTGTAGAGGGACTGGACGTCCATGGTAAAGATGAGGTCTTGGGAACCGGGGCATTGGAAGTTCTGGAGGAGGTGGAGGGTGTGGGTGGTGTCACGGACGTAGGTAGGGAGTTCCTGGATCAAAAGGGAGAAAACGGAGTCCAGATAGGTGGAGATAAGTTCGGTGGGGCAGGAGCAGGTGGAGACAATGGGTTGACCAGAGCAGTCAGGTTTGTGGATTTTAGGAAGGAGATAGAAGCAGGCGGTGCGGGGTTGGGGAACGATGATGTTGGAGGCTGTGGGTGGGAGGTTACCTGAGGTGATGAGGTTGTGGATGGTCTGGGAGATGATGGTTTGATGGTCGGGGGTGGGGTCATGATCAAGGGGGTGGTAGGAGGAGGTGTCGGAGAGTTGGCGTCTAGCCTCGGCGATGTAGAAGTCAGTGCGCCATACGATAACTGCGCCTTCCTTGTCCACGGGTTTCATGGTGAGGTTGGGATTGGAGCGGAGGTTGTGGAGGGATACACGTTCCGTGGGGGGGAGGTTGGAGTTGGTGAGAGGGGTGGAGAGGTTGAGGCGATTGATGTCACGACGGCAGTTGGAGATGAAGAGATCAAGGGAGGGTAGGAGGCCTTGGGCTGGTGTCCAGGAGGAGGACGTGTGTTGGCAGTGGGAGAAGGGGTCAGTGGGGGGAGGGTTAGTCTCACGGGCTCACGCCCCTTGTTCCCCCAGATTGACCCGGCAGCCCCGCGTTAACCCTCCAGTCCCACCCCCGATTGCTATTGGTCGTGAGACGTCATCAACAAGGCAGGCAGCGTGTCGGAGCATGCGCATAGTTAACTGGCGTTGCAAGCATGCGTGCCTTGAGGGACGTTCGGGAGAAAATATTTGTCCATCACAATTATGAGCGGTGAGTGAATGTTAAAGGCAAGGCCAGCGTTTGGAGTGATATTCTGGCAAGAAAATTTCATGATTGCTCAGTTTAGGTCTCAATCCCCAAAAATGGGTTTTACAGTCCCGCAATTTTAGCCACAGAGAGTCTCAGGCTTCTTCCCAGAAACAGACCCCGGTCAATGGCCGCCAGTCTTGTTTCAGTGCGATGGGGGAGTGTGCAAGATCAGTTAACGTGGTGACGCCACAGTAAGTGGGCATGACCGTATGTTGCCTCGTCCCCGCGGTACCTGGTCTCTGTCTTCCCCTTCCTCACTCTTCTAACCCTCTGTCCCCAATCTGCTCCAATGTCTCCATCTGGGGCTCTGCAGCTTTGTTTGATTACTCTCGGAGGGAGGTTTACTGCGGTAAAAGTGAAATATGCAGGGGAGATGAAAAGCTGCAATCCCGCCAGAATCCAACTCCTGTAATCCTCCCCGTAAACTTATAGGTGTCTTCGCAGCTGGATGTCTGACTGAATCCGTTCTACATATGGAGCAGGGGAATGGTCTGTACCCCGTGTGACTGTACTATTGGGTGACCAGCTCATGTGGGTAACTGTATCCCTGGCATTGTCCTGATATTTCTTCGGTATAGATAAGTATCTTTAGTCTCTCCTGGCTGCCTGATCAGACCAATACCGATTCAGTGGACAGAACATCCATATAGTTTCTCTCAACTGGATGTCGGTGCAGTTTTATTTCAGTATATGTTAAAGCTCTGTCCACAGTCAATTCACTGGAACACTCTCATTCAGGCTGTGTAACTGGTTACAGCTCTTTCTGCAATCTGCTGGAACACCATATGGAATAGGAGTAGGCCATTTGACTCCTCGAGCCTGTTCCACCATTCAACAGGATTGTGGCTGATCTGCGTTCCTCATGTTTAATTTCCAGTGTTTATCCTGTGACCCTTGATTCCCCTGCTGATCAAGAATCTATCTGTCTCAACCTTAAATA